GCTATATCGTAGCTTGAAAGGACCCGCCGTCATTCCTATATAATTCTTGACCACTTTCCCATTGTCGCTTGTAATCTGGGCTTTATACACAACGCTTCTCACGAGACAATTGCCGTTCAGAGGACATTTACTTTTAATTCTGCAGTTACACGATTTCGATGGAATTTGGGAGGGATTCTGATTCTTAAGAACACGCCGGTTGTGGTTTGAAATTGATGCTTTAATATTGTTCATGCATGAATAACTGACTTTGACAGAGTTTCGGTTGAAAATTTTATGTAGGATCGATGATTTGGGGAAATGCTTGTCTATTAAACGAAGGAAATTTTCTGCAACTTTCGTCTTCACGTTCTTGCTGTAGGGCGGATTGTACCAAATAATGTTTCTTGATCGGGTTCGTTTCTTGGGCTTGATCGAATATATATATATATATATATATATATATATATATATATATATATATATATATATATATATATATATATATATATATATATATATATATATATATATATATATATATATGCAAACATTGTCTGCCCTTATCGGAATATTGATTTCCTTTCACGCTCTAGCTGGAAGATAATGCTGTTACAGGCAACCAGAAATAGTTTTTGAAGCATGGCCATTGGAAATTTTTACTTTGTATAATGCGCAACGCGTGCGCACAGTGAGAGTTTTGTAACCTTTTTTTCAGAAAGCGGTATCAATTTCCTGTGCGTAATACAAAATGACTGAAAAACGGCAAACTTCGCAGGGCTATATTATCCGCATTTCACAACATTTTGCAACGAAACTTCGGAATATTACTAATTTTGTGATGCTCTTTCAAGTTGTAATGAAATTTTTGTCTAGACGCGTGTCTAGATCAAAATTTTGTTCATTAGGTAATAGGTCCATTCACAAGTCAATTCACATATTTTAGAAGTAAACGATCGAACCATTACTGATTAACTTCCGTATATAAAGCTTCCTGGCAAAATCAGTTTCTGTAACTATCTTTAGGTTGGTACGAAGTTACCCAAGGGTTATTCAAAAGTATTTACACGGGAACCAAAAGATTGATTAAATGGTGGTACATGCAGAGCTGTTTAATTCCCGGAATTGAATTTCCAGACAGCCATAATTCTAGAAACAGAAGTAACTGGATCAATTTCCACATTTATAAACTACTGAAGTGTTCTGGAAACGCCAAGACAATACATTTTCTTATAAAGATACCCCATTAATACGACCACTCCGGTAATACGGCCAAATTACGGGGTTAACGTTCCTTCACTGAACACTTCATTATTTAAATAGTACCGACATACTTAAATCTTTTTAACCCGGCTGGTATATCGTCTTGGTATAAAATGGGGTCGGCACGGAACTCCGTAGTCTTCAAAGGTAAATTTCCAAAAACTTTTACAAATTCTTGAATACATTCTGATCTTTTCATGAAATGTACCTTGTTCGCGCCAAGGGCGTCGCCATTTGCACATTCAGGACATTTGAATCTTTTTCTGGGCGTTACCTACACACATGCGAAGATTTTATTTTAGGACAAGAAAGTGTCATGTTGTATATATACAGATAATTCAAAAAAGGTTGTCCTTTGCAAACCTTAAACTCCAAACCTTCAACCTCAAACTCTAAGCGTGCAAAGCATCAGATGGGAGCATAATTTAATCGGTTTAGAAATCATATACATGGGGCCCATTTCTTAGAGACATAGTAAATATCTCCTTACGAGAACAATTAGCCATTCCGAAGTTGATGAGTGGACTGGGGACGAGTGGGGTTAAAGTGTTCCCAAATTAAGAAATGAACCAAATCACTAAAACGACCACCTCAAAATTAGTAAGTATACAAAGTTTGAAGACGTTTACATGAATATACCCTTCGAATAATAAGCTTTCGAAAATCGTGATATTTATTATGAAATGTATTGTATTTTTTGTTTTTATAGGGACGCGCGTCCCCAAAGCAATCTTTTTATGAGTAATTTCACAATTTTCGAAAGATTATTATTCGAAGGGTATTCATGTAAACGTCTTCAAACTTTGTATACTTACTAATTTTGAGGTGGTCTTTTTAGTGATTTGGGCACTTTTTAACACTCGTCCCCAGTCCACTCATCAACTTCGGAATGGCTAATTCATTCAATATTCACCTACTAAACTTGAAACTTGTGCTCCCATTAAGCTTTGCGCGCTTAGAGTTTAAGGTTTAAGGTTTAGAGTTTGCAAAGGACAACCTTTTTTGAATTGGCTGTATATATACTATAAGCCAATGGGTTCAAGGCACTTATCGCAAAACTATAGGACTACAGTACATAAAGCAATCTTTTGAATTCAGGGAATTGATTTTAAAGCCAGAATTCGAATATTTATAATGAGGCGAGATTTGTAAATCTGTCATATTCCTTACGAATCAAATTGTTACGTGCTTAAATTAGTTGTACTATCCACCATGTGAACATGCATCTTCTTGCATTATTAAGTTGAAAGATTTAGATCGTTTCAAACACAATATAATGATACTTGAGGCGGCCATTTGACAAATATTTATGTGTTGCTATAGCGTCTACACTTTGGAAGAACGTTTTTCTGCAAAACTGAAACAGTGGTATAGCCATTCATCTCTATGTCAATTGTCATGTATACCGTAATGTAATGTAATGTAATGTATAATGTAATGTAAAGCCTGGTTCACATATGCCTGCGGCATGCCTGCGACTGTATCATTATGCCTCAACTTGCCGCCGAAATACCGGGAAAGTTAAACTCAAGTCAACTTTCCCGGCCTACCGCCGATGTAACTGAGGCACTGGAGTCAATCGGCGAACAAATATTCACATAATTCACGTTTTAAGCTACCACCGGCATCGTCGCCGGTACGTCGCAGGTCTATATGTGAACCAGGCTTAATGAAGGGCAGAATTGGATGAGTCCTACAGTCATAATTCATACATACACCGAAACATATGTACCGGTACAGTACATGCATACGTCACGTAGTTGAATCAGTTAGGGGAGTACCTAATAGAGGTGTGCAAAAATATTCATTTCGGATTGGATTGATAAAGTTTTTTCGTAGTTGGATTGGACTTCGATATTCCAAATAAAATGAATTAATTATCCACGCATTATCGCATGAATTAGTTATCCATGCGTTTATCAAAGCATTATCGCGGTTTATCGCGGTTGTCGCATTATCGCGGTTGTCGTTTAATACTTCAATCGGACGCCACTTTGTTAGCTTCTTGACATGTATTTCTTGCTTTTATATTTATTTGGTTAAATATTTCCATTTGAATGAGAAATTCATCTTATTAAAGGATTCTTCGGATCGGAATTCTTTATCAAAACTCGGATCGGATTAGACAATTTCGGATCGGATTTTAAACATTAGCCAATTATCGGATTATAAACGTCCAATCCGATCCGATGCACACCTCTAGTCCCTAATAAGCCCTAAAATTCCATGGGGGCCGTGAGGCTGCACCTCCCAAATTTTTTTCCACAGGCCTTGGGTGGACTTTCAAGTATAGTTACAATAAAACTCACCTTAATTGGTGCCTTCCCGGTGTAGTTTGCAACGAGGAAATTCATTGCAATATCTTCACAGTTCATATGTTTGTCAACCCATTTTCGTACAGCGGCAGGCATCATGTACGTAAATACGTGACTGAAATACTGCAAGAAATGAAATTAAACTCAAACATGAACTCTAGCTAAAAAATATGATCATAGGATTTTCTTTGTCTGTTTTACAAATGACGCAAGCACGACATAAAAGTAATATAAAATGTAAACATAAATATCAAATTTAAATTTTCTTTAGACTTTCCTCATTACCGGATTTGATATAGCTATATCTACCTTGTGGTGAAAAGCAGCACCGGTAAGTACAATTGAGACATCGTTCAGCCATTCTGACTCATATTTCAGTTGACTAGAACCGTTGCTTGAGGTGTGTAGACGACCTGGAAAACCGACCAGTCTGTCTGGGTATTCTGACCAAACCTGAGAGGAAAAACACAGGCTTAACTTATAAAGCATTTACGATGGCAACAATAACAGCCGAAGCAGCAGCAACAACAACAACAACAACAACAACAACAACAACAACAACAACAACAACAACAACAACAACAACAACAAAAACAACAACAACAACAACAACAACAACAACAACAACAAGCAAGCAAGCAAGCAAGCAAGCAAGCAACAACAACAACAACAACAACAACAACAACAACAACAACAACAACAACAACAACAACAACAACAACAACAACAACAACAACAACAACAACAACAACAACAACAACAACAACAACAACAAAAACAACAACAAGCAAGCAAGACAAGACTGATGACGTCGACGAGTCGACGAGAACGACGACGACAACGACAACAATAACAACGACAACGACGACAACAACGACAACAACAACAACAACAACAACGACAACAACAACGACGACAACAACAGCAAGCAAGCAAGACTGACCTCAAAAGCAAACTGTATTTCATCAGCTGTCAGCATAACAATATCATCATCCAGTGAGAAAATTGCCTCCGTTTCTATTTCGTTGTACGGAAAGAACCTAAATGTAATAAGATTAATAACATACTATAACATTGTTCAAATATAGTTACTCGTATACTGTATTACTTCGCATCACCTTTTACAACCAAATGAACTGTGAGATGAAGAAAAAAATCGGAAACTTGCCATAAAATAAGCCACGAGAGTAGCTTAATTTTAAATGGAGTCAATTTATATATTATATAATTTACCTGTTGCTGAGCTTGTTTGCTTTCGTTTCAATCACTTTAACCGGTTTGGTGAGTTCGGGCCATTCTGACTCTAAGAAGCATAAGATGCAATCAATGGAATTGTATGGTTTCTGACTACAAAATCAATATTCTAGTTATTAATTTACCCTCTTCAATACCTGGAGGTGGGCGTCGATCGACATTATTCCAAACAACTACAATCTAGACAATAAAACAAAAGAGATCAATTGTCATGTCAATTTCAATTAAGGTTGTCATACTCAATTGTATAATCCAATCGAGAACAAGATGGGTATACCTAATTTTAATATTTTTAGCTGTAAAGCTATCGCAATGAAATAAAGATCATTGCATTCCCGGAAAGGACTAGCCTGCGAGCAGGCTCTCTCGCAGGCTAGGAAAGGACTAAC